CCCCCAAAACCCCAAAACCCCAAAACCCCTGAGGGCTTATGGCTTATTGTAAAAAGCTGGTGATATAACAATAAATTAAAATTTTAATATGCATCATCAATGCACACAAGGTCTAGACGACCCTGATTGGTTCCAAGGTGAGCAGGGACTTGACTTTCTCATATTTCCAAAACACCAAATCATTTGAACTTGACAAGCAATCAATTCCTTTCATGACTCAAAAACCTTCTTCCCATAATCCCAACTCAAACTGCAACATAAATTGCAAAAATCCCCAACCCCTACCAAAATCCCAAAAATTTTCAAATTTTTTTCTCACTAAAACACAAAACGACTCCACTTTCCTTCTCTATCCCCCCAAATCCCCCACCTGTCTCCCCTATAAACCCCCTTTCATCGCCACCCCCTTCCAAATAGACCACAACACTCATTTATTCATACTCCATTGCCAAAAACCTTGAACTTTATACGATTATTAACTTATTCTCTTCCCCAGAAATTGGCGCTTCTGCTGCTAGAATCCAGCTGGAGATTTATGACCGCGCTGAGAGATAGATAGAGTACTAATTAGGCTTGCTTTTGAGATGGATGGATTTTTAGAAGTTAAATTTATATAGATAGGAAAGAGAATGACAAAGAATTAGGTGAAGAGCTTATTAAGAACAAGACCCCGAAAATGGGAACAATCCAGACCTTCTTCACCTTACTCAAAGGGTTCCTAGGAGCAGGGATGTTGTTTCTTCCGAATGGATACAGTAATGCAGGGTGGTTATTTGGAACTGGAGGTATCATAATTAGCATGCTGATCACCATGACGTGTGGACTACTTCTGATCCAAGTTGCTTCAAAATATCCAGGAACTTTCTCAGAACTAGGATTTCTAGCGATGGGAAATAAAGGAAGATATATCTGCGATCTTGTCTTAGCTCTTTCCCAAGCAAGCTTTGTAACATTTTACATTGCTTTTATCAGTCAAAGTTTGAACAACATTTTTGAAAATCATTGGGGGTTTACAATAAACATCTGGATAATCGGAGTAATTTTGTTCTTCATATACACTCCACTTTGATGGTACAGGAAGATTCAGTCTCTAAAAAGATTCCATATTCTTGCAGATATCACTGTGTTTCTTGCTGTAGGAGTATTGACTGAAGTGGGGGTAACATTCTACTTATCCCAGGGCTCTTTTGCAGATGATACGAGACTCTTCAACCCTGATAAGTACTTGATATTTGTGGGAACTGCCATATTTATGTTTGAAGGAGTTGGCATAGTTCTCCCAGTGAGAGAAGCCTGAAGAAACAAGGATCAATTTCCTGCTATCTTTGTAACAATGATTTTGTTTTTAACATGAATGCTTATTTCCTATTCAATGTTTCAATATATGGTATACGGAGACCAACTGCTCTCAACCGCTCCAATGATTACTAAATTACTCACACATAAAGGCATCGTAGTGGAAATCGTTATGCTGATGTTTATCATGAGCTTTATATTCTCTTATCCATTAGTGATCTATCCATCTCATCTCATAATAGAAAGCTACATAATTGACAAGAAGACTTCATCTTCCTCTCAAGTTTGGATTAGAAATCTCAGCAGAGCTCTTGTTGTATTTGCAACATTATTTATAGGAATATACTTTGAGGATACTCTAGATAGACTACTATCGATAATAGGAACCTTAACCTGCACTCCAGTTGCCTTCATTATGCCAGCAGTGTTTCACTTACAGCTAGTAGCAGATACCAGATTCACTAAAGCAATAGACTACTCCATAATCCTCCTCGGAATGACACTCCTAATCGGATTAACCTCTTACACAATCATTAGCTGGCAATAATAACCACCCGCACAAAACCCAAAGGTTTCTTTCAATACTTCTTCCAAATCCCGGGGTTTTGGGGTTTTGGGGTTTTGGGGTTTTGGGG